CAACCATTTAAATTTCAAAACAACAAAACTTTTGGGATTAAATTTAAACTATAAAACCTAAAGGAGAAAATATGAAACTTTTCATAACAACAAAGATCAAATAACAAATAATCCTAATTAACATTTAATCACATAATTATCCATATTTGATTTATTTAATGATTTCTTGCAAAACAATTTACCAATTTAATCAAAATAATTAATCAATTATCACATAAGGAAACAAATATTTTATTAATTGATAAATATCTTCAATTAGATCAAGAATATACTCATATATATCAAAAAATCGGATTTATATTGATCTAATATGATAAGGCAAGTATCCTCAAGCAAAAATAGCAAGAAATCCCGTTTTTCCCTCTTTCTGACCAACTGACTCGTCGAGTCAGCATGAACTCGACGAGTTCATTTATAGACTCGGCGAGTTCAGCCCCCAGAATCCCTAAATTTCGATTTTTAAGCTTGAACAAACAAACAAACCATCAATACAATAGAAACCAATCAAGGCTCTGATACCACTGATGGGTTTTGATCATAAGAACATCTTATGTGCTCATACAAACCCTAATGCTTGGATCTAGGTTTCTCTATTGTACATGCAAGTTATCCAAGACTATAAACCCTAATTCTAGCATACAAGTAATCATATTAACATAAGAATGGGTTTACAACATTACCTTGATTGTTATGTAGCAATAACAATCCAATTCCTCCTTGTATTGACTTTAGAAAGCTTAGAGTCACAAATGTCACTCCTCTAATGGTTCACAAACACCAAGAGCAAGAGGATGAAGAGGAGAGAGGATGGAGGCTGCCCTAAAGCATGTTAAACCCTAGAAGGATGCTTAGCCACGTTTTTGGGTCATAAAGGATGTATATATAGTTAGGCTATTAGGGTTATCTAACAAGGAAACCTAAATTGGATGCTTAAACCCTAAGCAACCCATAGATTCCTTTCCTTAAGGCCTTGGACGATTTCCTCATGGGCTTTCCCATAGAATTCGTCCACTCCTTAATATAAGGCAATCCATAGCCCAAATTGCAATTATCTTATAATTACAATTCCAGTCCCTTAAGTTTAATTAATCTCTTTTAGTCACAAAACTAATTACCAATTAATTCTTGACTAATATTAATTTAAACAATATGATTTCTCCTTTAATATATTAATAAATCATATTTAATCTTTTCTCTCCATAATTCATCCTATCAAGTTGCTTTGGTGAAGGCAACCCAAAAGGACCATGCACCATCGGGTCAAGTACATACCAAAATAGTTATGGACTTAGACACTAATCCAACATAATCAACTTTGCGACACGTTGTAAACTAACAAATAATATGTGAAATGATTTACAGAATAGAGGTAGGGGAAGGAAGGAAGCATGATTTCAATGTTAAAGAATATGATGATCAGACAATAATGCTTTGTGATCCGGTAGGTAAATTATAATAATTTTGTTATTTTAACTTAATATTTATTTATTTATATTTTCAATATTATTGTTGTATGTTTTCGGTGTCAGAAAGAAGAAGGCACTCACATCAGATAAATGGTTTGTTGTGATCACTGTGAGTGTAATATGATCCATGGTGTTATTTAGGATGTGGTTGTGAATGGAGCAGGTGTAATGTCACGTTCAGTTTTGAGTATAATAGAAAGCAAACATCAACATGTCTATAAAGTCGCAACAAACATCGAGATGAAGAAACAATGAAGGTGTAACTTTTATCAATTAATATACTAAATTAATCGTATTTTGCTTAAATTTATTCTACTCTCATGGTTGTATAGGAGTTGATGAAAGTTGATAGCACTGTAATTCTCTGTAATTGGATGCTCCAAGTTTCATATTTGTGATGCAACTTGCCAACAACCGAGCTCCTGTTCAAAACTCTCAGGTTTTCTTTTCAAAATTGTGGAAAACAATAGAAATCAGTCATAGCATGACATTTCTATTTTCATGTTTTAGATCCTTTTGATGCGGTGAAGAGCAAGTCAGAAACGAAAAAGGAGTTGTCTGGAGTTGGATTAAAGTTCATTATCTAATATTTATGAGACACGATCCTACTATTTGACTCATAAGCTCACAATATCAGTTATTTTATTTCTTCTCTTTTAATTCAAAAAAACTAACTTTTTATATTTATTTTCAGGCATGTGTGCCTCTAAAAGAATCAAAACTTCACAAAACAAAAAGTTCCTCATTTTTATGGGTTTGCCCTTCTAGAAATTTAGATGGTTATTTAGGCTTGTAGTTTTTTTTTTTTTAAATATAAATTCGTGTCTTAAATTTATCCCTCTAAAGTAGGTTGTAGGGGTATATTGGTCAACTACATATTGGATCTTTACCATCAGTAGGTGCTTATGTGATTTTTGAAAATTTTGTCCACATTTATATTACTAAAAATTAAAAATCAAGAAAGTAAACATGATCAAACCTTTTGTTGACCGTTCCAGTTCCAATGAAAATTTTTGTTTTTATAAAATTATATTCATCTTATTTTAATGTTTTATTTTATATTATTTGTTTTGGATGTGAATCCTAACAAGAATCAGTGATAGATCAACATCATAGAGTATGAAGAAGTTGCTTTCAGGTATGCTTTCATTATTAACTATGGAAAATCATTCGGTAGCAACATACTTTTTGATTAACCGAACTAATGAATCTATGGCCCTCTTATGACATAATGACATTTTGATTAAGCGAACCGATAAGTCTTTGGTTTTTCAATTTGGTTACAAATATGGTTAACCAAAAAACCAAAAAGAATTATCTTTTATATTTCAAGATGATGTTTATGGGTTTTAGATATAATAATGTATTATAATTTATAAAAATTAGATATTTTTAATTGACAAATGAAATTTATTAACTTTATTTTGGTGATCTTGACAAAGCCCGTTGCTAATCAAGTTTCTTCCCTCCATCTTGCATACCGTTTTCTATACTTATTTTTCTCCATATTAAACACCCTATCACGTGCCTTATTCGCTCCGATCAAAGTTTAGAAGGTTTTTTTCTTCCTATTTTCCCATTAAGTCAAGGTTAAGTTGTCGAATGGGTAATGATGAATGATCATTTTACCCTTACCTTCAAATAAAGAAAAATAACTAAATATAGAGCAAATCAAATTCAAGCAATAATTACACTAGTTTTTAAAGGACTTCAAATAACATGGTGAAGTTAACCACATGAGCACTATATTGCATTAACTCATTTTAATGATTATACCTCTTTTCTTCAAAATGATTTGGTGCTCTTTCACAGTATTGTTGTTTTTGGTCACTTCTGTTTATTATGGTGTCCTACTTCTATTTTCTTGAATACTATGTCTTCCTAAGAAATTTATTTTAAGTATAGTGATAAAATATAAAGACATAGGATGTTATAATGCACAAAAAAAATGTAGGTTGTTACTTATGGATTGGTTTTTGGGTTTCTTATAGGGATATCTTGATAATTAATTCACAAAACTTTAGAAGATGAAATATTAGAGCAATCTATGCAATATTTATTTTGTAATATTTATCTTTAAATGCAATCTATTTTCACATGCAACTACATTCTATTTATAGAATCAAACAAAAAACAAACCCCCCACCCATGCAAAGTAGGGAATATTTCCCTAGTTATTATTATTATTAAATTAGTTTTTTTTTGGAAATCTGATCTACTATTACATTATTCTTATACATATGGCATTTAAATCTTCAAACTAAAAGATGAATGAAACATTTGATACTGTTAGGTTGATAGTAGTAGTGTTTTAAGAAACCTTTTGAATCAGTCGGTCGAACCAGTTGGACCTGGAACAAGACAAATAAGCGGTTCAACTAGCATCGGGTTTATGTTTATTTATGGACCAAAAAGAATTGGTCGGTTTTTACAAAAAAAATGGTTTGAACCGGTTAAATGTAACTATTTGAACCGGTTAAATTGAATAAAAATACATAAAAATTGAATATTTTACATAACAAACTATGGTGGTCTTTTCATATTTATTTAGATTTCTCTTAAAATTGAATACAAATACATTGTAGATGTTATAAATCTTTTTTGAAACATTTGTATTTATCTAAAACCATACTTTGTTTTGATAATATACTTTATTTTCTTTTTTATTTGTATGTACTGATGCAAAAAGTATTATGTGTTTCTTAATGTAATTTGAATGATCTAAGACTATTTTTTATGTGTATTTTTAATGTTATGAGTTTTTTAGTATGTGTATTTTTAATGTTTAATTTTGTGTGAGAGAAAATAAGAAAAAAAAAACATAAAAAAAAAAAAAATAGAAATTGATTGAACCAACGGTCGAACCGGTTAATTCTATTGAATCGGAAACTTATCACCTTTACGGTTCAATTAAAAAAACCAATTTTAAAACTATGGATAGCAGCCATTAATCCTCCATAATAAATGAAAATAATTTTGTCACATATCATTCTCTTATTAACTTTGACACATATCATTTTTTTGGTATTTTTGATTAAATGTTTTTTTTCATTTGTCATTTTTTTTTTATCTTTTTTTAATTAACACATCATATTTCCACCTCAATTAATCATTGCCTTAATTGGAAATAACAAATAAATTACAATATTAATACTCATATAGTATTTAATATGTTTCATTTTCAATTTAAATTTTAAATTTAAATAAAATTTTGTTTAAATTTTTATATTTAATTTTTGTTTTATTAAACCCATATAAAATACGAGTCTGACACCTAGTTTGTTATAAATGTGTTCTCAATTTATTTTTTATTTATTTATTTTAACTTATACGTAGAAAAGGTTGTCTTCATTCGAGTAAATTACAATATATAAAATCATTACACTACAAAAATCGGTAACATATAAACAAATCAATTAATGAATATTACATTTATAACCTGATGAATCATTAAAAAATACATCAATAAACAAACACAAAACAAATTTAATATAATCAAAAATTCAGTTTTCTCCTCTTTGAATGATAGGAAACTTATTCCAAATTCAAACTTTTGACCCTTTCGATTAGGTTATTGATTGTAATGGAGAATGCATCTTGAAACAATTCAAATTTTGCATTTGGGTCTCCATATACTAATCTTGGCATCAATTCATAGACTATATATCTTCTCATATCATCCCTCTCCTTCCGTGTCACCTTCATCAATCTTTCCACCACATTCACCTTCGTCTCCCTAACCTCTTCTTGATCCACAAATACTGAATACTTCTCATGATCCACAGGCAAATGCCATGGATACTGATAGTATGCCGTAAACGGGTCGAAAACTACCGGAATACACCCGGACACCAATGAGTCAAACACTGATTTCCTAGTTGGGCTATCTCCCGGAGGCTGAAGACAAAACTCAGACTCCATGAATAGGCCCACAAGTGATTTGGGCTCATCACAGAGCCCTGACTTACAATCGAAGAACTTACAGTGTTCTTCGCTTGTTGATGTACATTGGTCTATTAGTATAGACCTAATGTTGTCCAGGGCTCCAGGACGGGCGGCACCAGCGAAACTGACAAGGCTTCGCCGGTTTGATGAGATGATGGTACGTTGCCATGAACGGATGTCGGCATCGGACTGTGGGTGGAAGTGAGTTGGGTGAGGGATTCCGATGTCATTAATCTCCCATGGTTGTCGTTCGATCATGAGCTTTATCGGGTTTTGCATTTCTTCAAGCTCGAGAAATCTTGTCCCCCATGAGGTTTGCTCCTTTCTCCTGAAATCCCAAGAAATTTTTCCCAAAACAAAGAAATGATCTTTGCCTAGGTTCTTATCCCATGGCTTTTGCATTTCTAGCCAATTTAAAAGTTCCAATGACAAAGAATCCTTAATTTCGCTAGAAACATTCTTGAAATGCCATCTCAAGATGTCTAATCCACCATAATATGGAACGTAGAAGAGTTTTGCTTGGTTTTCGTCGTAAACACGGCATGGATGGTTTAGAACTCGGGAATGGAATATCAATTCCAACGAGTACTGATGAGTCCGGAACCAACGATTCCCGAGTTCTGGTATGGGCTCTCCCAATGCGTTGTTGCTAAAATACTTACACATGTCGACCCAAGGAACCATGTTGTGACAATCAGTTGCCAACTCCTTGTTGAACTTTGGTGGCAACTCATAGACATAGATTCCCCGACCTTCACACTGGTTTGGATTCTGATTCTGATTTTGATTCGTGATCCATGACCTTTGGACTCGTAGCTGCTCTTCCACTACTTTCCTCGCTTTCTTGATCTCTTCAATCGTATCATTCTGAGGATTAGGGTTTTCAAGATTTACATCATGAGAAACTTCCTTAAGGTCGTGCATCACCTCAGCCACATCACTCCTGACTTCTTTCTCCAATATAGAAGGCGGGTTGTCAACAGCAACATCGGGAACTTCTTTGGTATCGTCTTTGAGGTCACTCATGACCTCAACCTCATCATTCGTGACTCTTTTCTCAAGCAAAGGAGTCGGGTTTTGAACAACGTCATTGGAATCACCTTGGAGGTTTCGGTTAACAGAAATGTCTTCCGAGACAGGAATCGGGAAACCACTGTCCTTTTCAAGTTTTTCTTCAAGAACAGGAATCTCTTTCTCAAGAAATTCTTGAGAAGTGGAATTCGTGAATGGAAGATGGAATTCCGCGTTCGATTGTGTGGTGGCTGAGAGACAGTAGAGGTTGCTCAGCTTACGAGAAGAGACACACACATGAACGATCCTGCCTGAAATATACGTGGTGGAGGAAGACCACACAAACATCAGGATCATGAAAAAGAGAGCTGCGGGAAGAGGATACACGAACATTGTCACACACGATCGGAAACAGCCTCTTCTGGATTCAACCTTTTTCGGTACTTTTGATCTCCGCTTAGACAACAAAGTCGCCATTTTGATAAGCTAACAAGAATGGCACTGATTTGGATTTGGAGTTCTTCCCGAGCTTTTCTAGTAGGAGAAATGTTGGTTGCTTGGCTTCACAGAAGCATATCATTGTCAAACAACATGAGTGCACGTAGAGCTTCAATGCATGATTAGTTTGTTTAAAATACTTGGAGGCACGATCTGATATGTACATTAATTAATTAAGGCAAAAAAAAAAAAACGTCAAACTAATCCCAATCATTTGTTGTATCGGGTCGTTACATACATCTAACAAGTACAAAAAATCACGTTTGTTATAATATAATTAGCATCAACAGCCCGACTCAAGGATCAATCTGAATTTGATGTCCGTATCGACCAAGAATTGACACGTTAGCATTCTAAGGTCATCTTACATTCATTGAACTCTAAAAAAAGATTTAATGATTTAAAAAGTCAAATTTCCACTCTTTATACAACTTTAAGTTTGAATGAGTTGATACATTAGCATTCTAATTCTCATCATTTGACATTTATTTATTAGGCAAGTATAATTATACACAATAGTTTGGAACATACAGCACAACACAATAATCGTAAGACTATTCCATTAAACACACTCCATTAAACACATTGCAATACAACTAGTAATCGTAAGACTATTCCATTAAACACACTCCATGTTACCACTAACAATGAGATTAACCTCACTCCATCTTTCCCGCTCCTCGTTAAAATCCTATAATCTTTGCATTGTGGAGATCTTAAGTAATATCTAACATTCGTGTTGCACAATTCATGTACCATACTTCTCTGGTTTCAAACCCCCAACCGGTAACCAAAAGAAGCAAGCTTCGGAGCCTTGCGTCACTCTGGTATGCTAATCACTTCGTTGTACGAAATCGACGAATATGAAATGTATCGTTATACGAATATTTAATATGTATTTATGATACCATAGTTAATTTCTAAAATTTGTTTTGCACAATTTATGTGACGCACATCGATGAACTTGAAATGTATCCGTATTTGGACATTTGATAATAATTGATATGTATTTGATATCAATGTATTATTATAATATTGTTGAGAATGTATTAGAGGATATTGTTGATCATGTCAAATCTTCATAATCTCTTTATATTACTTTCTTTCCTATGTTGTTGTATTCTAAAAGTCTTCTTTGTATATCTTATGTATAAAAAAATCGCAAATCACCCATGAGGGATGAAGGAATAATATTCCTTACATGGCATCGGGAGACCAATAGGGTCCACATACAATATTATGGTACTATCTTTCTCAATGCCTAAAGGTATCGGGAGACCATTAGATAGGCGAGTTTTAACTGTTAGCATATTAATATAATTGTTATGTATACGTATTTGAGATAGAGTCTAGTCCATTGTATTTAATTGGCTTGTATATGGCCGTTTATCTTGTATACGTGTATATATTATGCACTAGGTGTGAGATCCGTATGTTATACGGGTTTGATAAAACAAAAAATTAAATATGAAAGTTTAAATAAAATTTTATATAAATTTGAAATTTTGAATTTAAAATTTGATTTTAAAAAGAAAAATGTTAAATACTATATGAATATTAATATTGTAATTTATTGCTATTTTCAATTAAGGTAACTATTAATTGAAGTGTAAATAGGACGTACTAATTAAGAAAATATAAAATAAAATGAGAAAATGACAAATGGAAAAAAAAAATTATTTAAAAATACCAAAAAATGACATGTGTCCAAGTTAATGAGAGAATGACATATGTCAAATTATTTTCATTTATTATGGAAGATTATCAGTGAAAGATGATTTTAAGGGTAAATACTCTATTTTACGTAGTATTAGAGCAATAACAAACTGTGACAACCCGATAATTTCGAATCAGTGTAATGACCTAACAAATCAAGAATTTGTAATCTCTTTTAATGTAATGAAATTTGTATCAAAATTTTGAATGTTCAAAAGTCTCTATTGGGTTACATAAAATGATAAACATTGTATCAAGGGTTTCAGAAATATAAAGAACTCTAAAAACCGAGTTATAACGAAAAAGTTATGACCAATCTAAGAGTCACAGTAAAAACTGACAATACTGATAAACGTAAAACGCGAAGTTTCAATACAATTATATTTAGCCTTAAGTATCTAAATGAAAGTTGTAGATATCATTAGACCGTATGCGTATATAAAAGAACGTCCAAATCTGACTTCGTATGAGAAACTTATGATTTTTTCAAGTTCCAAATATAGCAGCAGACAGCTAAAATACTCGAAATAGAGATCGAGAGATTTTTAGCCAATACAACCTAAATGAGAATCGAAGATCTCAACAATAGTAGCACAACGGCATAAAGTCTGATGAGAACGGACCTCAAATGAAGAAATTATGGATTTTTAACGGACATTTTGGGTCCCGGCCCGTTAAAAATAAATCAAAGTCAAAATCTGCCGACGGAGTCTAAACGAGAGTTATAGAGCATAATCTCACCTACGCGTGGATATAAAGAACGTTAAAAACGGAACTCGTACGTGGAAATTACGAATTTTACAAGTTTTCGGCACAAAATATGAGGCTGTCAGGCCCACCACGACGTGGTATTGTGATTGATGGGTGCTAGGTCCGTCAGCAAACGTCTCGTCAACGGAAGAGGATAGAATCCCTCACTACGACGTGGTGAGGTGTACCACGACGTGGCGCCCAAAATAGGGCTATAAATAGCAGCCGAAGGTGTTGGGTTCCATTGCTCATTTCTTCTCTCTCTCTCTCTCTCTCGTGTCGAAGCTCTGCGTTTAAACCCCCTAAAGCCATCCCGAATCCCTGGTCTTTACACCCAAGTTCCGAAGGAAGGTTTTTCACTCCCGAGATTCCCGAGAATCCCGAGAAATTCAACTTTCCATAGCCGAAGTTCTGCTTAGTTTTCGTTTCACCTTCTTCTGTCTATCAAGTGATTCATACCCTACAACTACACTTTCAAATACTTTATAAATGCTTTTATACACTTTCAGAGGGGGGGGGGGGGGGGAATACAAGTAAACAAACGGTTACTCTCGTGTGGAAAACATTAAGCTTTTACTACACTTATCTTTATATAACAAATCATATGTGATTCATAAGTCATAACTACCATATGAAAACGTTCGCATGCGACACCTATTCAATAACATTTTGTCCTTTAAGAGTAAAAACATGTTGTTATACAAATATCAAACACTTTATTTATATTCCGGTGTATAAATGTTCAATAGTGTTATTACAAATGTTGTACTTACATACCAAGCTGATACTGCACTCGGGTTTATCATACAATGAATCATACATTTGAGAAAAACTATAATAGGTATAGTTTACTAGATATTCAAGAGATTTTACATACTATAAGTACTACATCAAGGAAATACTTTCATATATAAGAACAAATGAACTTTTCATACATAAATCTATTTGATACTAAGTTTTGTGAGACATTCAGCTTCACGTACCTTCGTGTACGCAGTTAAAGTCCTGTATTATATACCATAATCTCTTGTAGGGAGAACGTGATACTTGTGTATAGATCTATACGGGATTGACAATCTCGCACCTAAACTGTTAGCTAAAGTTAGACCAGCAGGTCTGGGGTGACAAACGTCATAACATTCCAACGCCTGAAGAACGTTGTTACATGCAGTCTTGGTCAATAGTATGGTTATAAAACTCACATGGAGTATTAAAAATACGTTGATTTACGAGATTATCTAATGCCTTAGTAATTCTTTTACATATATAAATCTACTATTCTAGACATGAAAAATACTATTGCATGATAATTTTTGGAACTTTTTAACTACCATACACTTATGGAAAAATATTGGAATTTTAGAAACAACATTCGAAACAGTCGGGTCTTAGTAAAAGACTACTTTTATACTAGTAGGAAATATGAGATTTTCTAGGAGTTTTTCAAACATCTATAAACAAATTCATTTAAATTTATACAAACATTGACATTAAATACTTATGAACTCACCAGCTTAAATGTTGATCTAATCTTTCAAATCTACTTGTATTTCTCCGGGATTCAGTAATACAGGTAAACTTCAGCTTTTGGAGAAGTGATGCTATGGCGTCAGTTTTAAACTCATTTTATCATCATATTGTAATTTGTTTTTGAGACAAGTATCATCCAACAATGTAACTCTTAAATTACATATATGATGGTTGTGTTTACTTTATTTACTATATATTCAACTGTTACGATACTACAGGAAGTCATCCACCCTCGAACGATTCCGTCGTTCTTGTTTGGGGGTGTGACACAAACTATCCTAGAACTTCTCCTCTAACAGAAAAGTTGGTAAATTGATATGAAATTTGATATATGAAGAACAATCATATATAGTGTATAGGGGTGGAATTGGTACGGTACCGAGTTTTTTTTTTCTCCAAACCGCGTACCGTACCAACTATAGTTGGTATAAGATTTTAGCTACCAGTACCGTACCAAGTGTACTTGGTACCAATTAATTTGGCTACCAACAAATTTGGTTGGTATATATTGGTATTTGGTATATACCAAAATTTTTAACTAATATATATACTATACATGAATATAAGTTGAATTTGTGGACATTTAGCCGTTCCTTCACTCACTTCTAGTAGTATTTTTTTATTTTTTATTGGAAACCACTAAAAGGATTAAAAAAACGTCCGCCCCTATCAAGTTGCTAGAGGAAACAAATGGTAACATTAAAAGTACAAGGAATGAGAAGTTAATATTCCTTTTTAAGTTTTAGTTAATGTAGTGCACATCAAACAATAAGTATCAAGAAATTTGTCGGTCAATGTATTAGTTTAGTAATTCTAAGATTTGTTAGTTGTTATTCTAATTAAAACATGAAGATATGAGAACTCATATTTCTTTGTATATATATATATATATATATATATATATATATATATATATATATATATATATATATATTGGTTAGTACAGTACAACTGTAGTATTTAAAATTCCATACCGTTACCGT